TATTAACAGCTAGCCGTTCTACCGTATGTCGCTAGGTATCTTTAGTACGGTGTTTAGTTCGTTAGGGAAGCTAGTAGTAATTATCTTAAAGGACTACTAGTACTTGTCCTTACGTAGCGACACTATAAGGTTGCGTAGCTTAACTATACTCGGATAGCGAGCAAGAGCGTTATCCGCTATCTATAGCTTTATACGGTAACTGCTATCGCCGGTATCTAACTCTTGCTTAATCGCTCTACGGATAATAGCCTCGTACTCTTCCTTAATCCTCTACGTATTAGCGGTAGCGGTGTCGTTATCGCTGTCTATCGCTCTAAATAGGGCGGCCTACACGATAATATTTATAATATAGCTAACGTAGCGTAAGCGACGTGTCTTCTTAGTCTACTACGGATAGCCGGCTTCCTTTATAAAGGTAGCGATTGTAGCGACTATACGGTCGTTAACTATAACATTATTAGAGGTAATCTAGCTAAGTTTGTGCTATAGGTTATAGTCCTTAATCGAACTAATTACTAGTATAGCTAAATAATCGCCGCTCTTACGCTATAGGCCGTCTACCTCTACGAGGTTAAGCAGAAATTGTACTAGCTTACCGTGTTCGTTAATAAACTAAAGATTAACAGCTTAAAAGTGTTTATAGCCGTAGCGAGCCTTCTACGTATCTATACTAATATAGTAGCAGCTAAGGCCGTTCTAGATGTATACGGCTATAACCTCTTATTAAGCCTAGCGGTTACGAATAATACGTAGTATAATAGAGCTAGGCGAATAAAGTAGAACATAGCTAGTCTAAGGATTAATAGTAAGGACAATATTATTAAACATGTCGCTTATAATAGCGTAGTATAAGACACTACATACTATTAAGAACCGTATTAGTATATTACGGTATCTTTCCTTATCGGCGGTATTACGTAGGATCGCCTTTACCTTATTATCCTCTATAATTACTGCCTTCTTAAGCTGTGTATTAAATCCCTAACGAAGAGCGTTAGAGACCTTCGTCTACGTAGTGTTCTTTCTAAACCGTCCGACCTTAATACTATACTTAGTTAGATAAACACTAGCATTACTAGATGTTCTATACTATATATAGAGACTATAGTAGAACTTTCGCTAACGAAACTCGTTTCGTAAGGGCTCGTCCGGTATCCGTTCTCGATAGTACTTCTATAGCTCTTTATCTAAATTGCTAGCGCTATAGTATAGCGACGAGGTAGACCGAGTAAGCTATCGCCGAGCGATAAACTATACGCTAGTTTCTAGTATTAGTATGTCGATTAGTGTAGGCGAAGAGGAGTCGAAGGTTTAAGACGGCTCTTAAGATAACTCGGTAGCTATATTAGTCGCCTAAGTTTCCGGTATTAGCGAAGGCGATACGTATATATCTTCTTTATCCGGCTCTTAAACCTTACGCTTCTTAATTGTTCGTAGAGTACGCTTTAGAGCTATAGTTGTTAGTATTAGTGTTTATATCGAAGTAGTTAGGAAGCATAAAGAAAATCCTTCCCCTTAGCTTTACTAAACGCTAGTCTTAGGAATATTCGCGACGCGACTATAAATAGAGTTGTTAGTCGATTCGTAATCTAAGACGCGCAAATAAAAGAGCTCGTTCTACGCTTTAATATAAGCTATAAATTATGTAATTCGGTTTAGTATAAAGAAAGTTA